CAAAGGCAGCCATCAGCATCCTGGACTGCATTAGGAGGAGAGCTGCTAGCAGGCTGAGGGAAGTTATCCTTCCCCACTGCTCAGCTGGCAAGGCTGCATCTGGAGGGATGTGTCCAGGGCTGGGCTTTCCAGTAGAAGAGAGACAGGGACATACTGGAGACAGTCCAACAAAGGGTCACAGGGATGACTAAGGGGACAGAGCATAGAGATGACTAAAGGGACAGAGCATTTTTCACCTAAGAAAAGGCTGTGAGACAGCTTTGACTCATCAGCCAGGAGAAGAGAAAGCATGTGGAGATCTTATCAATGTGTATAAATATCTGATGGGAGTGTCAAGAAGACAGAGCCAAACTATTCTCAGTAGTACCTAGTGGCAGGACAAGAGGTGGTGGGCGCTACTGAAACACAGAAAATTCCATCCAATTCCATAAGAAAACACTTTTTTACTATATGGGTGATTGAGCACTGGCACGGATGATCCAGAGAGGTTTTGGAGTCATCATTCTTGGAGGTATTCAAAGCCTGACTGGACACAGTCCTTTGCAACCCACTCCCACTGAGCCTGCTTGATCAGGGGTTGAACTGGAGGATCTCAAGAGTCTCCTTCCCCCCTTAACAATTCTTTAAAAGCAGAGTTGGATTGGTCTGACATGGAAGCTTGAATAAGGACAGCTTCATTCAAGTATAGATTGGATTAAAGTGAATAGGCTTAGCTCAAAATGGAGCGACTGTTCTGGTTTTGTAAATATATGTAACTGTAGAGGATCTCCTTACAGCCTTCAGTCTTCTACAAGCTGCACTCTGTGTGATGCCTGGCATAATGAGGATGTAGCACTGCAGGCCCTGCTGAGCATAGAAGGGTACGTTCTTCAATGGCTTTCTTCTTTCCTTCAAGGTCTCAAAAGATAGCTGTAGGCAATTACTTGCTTTCACAAATTGGACTTTTCTGGATTGCACCAAGTGTTCCACTGTGCAGGCTCTTCAATATGTATTAAGGGGCTGTTTTGCCTGAAAATGTGGCCTTTTTTCTCTGCCATAAGGTGGTAACATCTGCTTCTCTAAACTACATTATACTTGGGAGGGAAAAAGAGCCTATTTTATTTGGTTTATGCTGTCAGGACTTGACTGACTTTTTCACAGCCTTGTAGATTAAGATCCACTATATTTAGTCTCTGTGGAAGCCAGTTAGTCTAGGCAAATGAGAAGAAGATCTGCAAATACTTTACAGGCTTCAGATATTGTCCATGAACACTGTGTTCAGGAGATGAAAGTGGACCAGCAGCTTCCCCTCCCACTCCTAGCTGGGGATGGATATTGAGGGGATGCTTGAAAAGTCACATAGGCCTGTTCTGTGCTCTGCTAAAGCTGGAGTTTGTTTTCACCTGGTGTATTTCAGGAGAACTGATGACAATTTTGACTGAAATTTGGTGGCAAACTTTTGTAAAATGAGGCCACAACCACAACCAAGTGACAACTTACGTAGATGAAACCTTTGTCATAATGAGCACAAATGATACATCAATAAACTTTCAAGATCTTGAATCCAGCAGAAAAGAAAAAGCATAATTGGCTGACTAACAAGTGTGATAGGTGCCCAGCCAGTAATAGCATAGAATTGACTGACTGGTACTGCACCTTCTGTTCAGGAGATGCACAGTTTCCCCCTTTCCAGCTGCTAAAGATGTGCTCTCCACCCCTCTCAATTTGATCTACACTTACAGAAGCAAAAGCAAACCAGAGACTGTCTGGAGCAAATTGAAGAACCTGGTGCATTCATATCTATTTATAGCTGGATCTGGGGTGGTGGGGTTCTGGGGTGTTTTCCTAAATCATTTTTTAATTACCTCCTAGGCATTTTCTTTGCCTATGAAGGGATGTAACTGGCCATATGGGACTGGAAGTAACACAGACAAGTGCCCACTACGTTTCAATGGCTTCAAGAGCCCACAGAGCTCTAGGACACTGAGACTTGAGTTACGATGCTTTGGGAAGAGTGGGATATTTTGGTCATTATAGCCCTATAACCTGCCTACTTTGTAAGGCCTCAGGATGAATCGTGTTAGTGTTTGTCTGATTTTGCCCTAGCCATCCTAGGGCTTTAGTTTTGTTTGTTTATCAATGACAGGTTTTTTTATTAGTTTTGGTTTTCCTCATGACAAGGAAGCTGTTGCCTAATTTGTTTTGCTCTTGCTTAATTTCGTATAAGCATTAGGAATTACCTTAATTTTATATAGGCAATTATAAGAAGCAGTTATTCAAATGAAACATTTATTGCTGTAGCATAAAGTCACATGGGATAATGTAGGTGTGGTATGACAGTAGAAGCCATAAAAAAAGTCAGAGGATGTGATGTAGAGGAGTAGAGACATGAGATGGTAATGAAAGGGGCAAAGAATAATACTGGAAACTTAAGGTTATTGACAGCTTGGTTAAAGAACTGTAGAGCTGGACAAAACCAGTTTTAGTGGTAACAAAGAGAAAGAGGAGAGCTGTTCAATTTATGAAGAGAATTTCTTACCTATAGCAAATTTGGATGCAATAGCAACTTGCACATCAGAGAATAAACATTTAACTGTACAATTATCCTAGAAAATTTATTAAATTACTCAAATGTGGGCCCTGGAGGGAGAAGGAAAAAAACATTGATGACATGCTCTTCAGCAAAGGAGAGGAAGAAACCCCATCATGGACATGATGCTCCTTCTGGACTGGGGATGCTAACAAATTATTTCAAACTTGAACCCCTGTCCTTCTCCCCAGGCTGATCTTTGGGGCTAACTTACTGTCACACTTGATAGCCAGAGGGGCAGGACAAGGGAGAGCTTATCAGAGGACACTTTGTATAGCAATCTTTGACTCTATTGCTGAGCTGTACATGGTATTGTTTAGATAATTGGGACTCCGAAGGTTGATATCATTGTAACTGCACTATAACAACACTTTAGTGTATTTTAGTTAGGCTGTTAGGATTTTAATTAGTCTAACATAGAATTCTTGGCTTCCCAAATGAGGTGTTTCCCCTTTTGCCCATAATAAGGCTTTGAGTGTAATAACTTGTCACATGGGTACTACGAGGGTTGAAGAATGATGAGTGTGTTCACAGAGAACAAAGGACTGTACTGATGCAGTGAAAGAAATCACGGAGAGAAGTAGACAAAGCCAGAATGATCTTCATCCCGATGACTAATGATAGAATACTTGTGCTGTATTACTTATGTTATTTTAGCAATCTCCTGAGCAACCCAGTGGGAGGTGTTCCTGGTGATGTATGAAAGAAGCCAAAAAAAATAACAGCTGTCTGAAAGAATTTTTCTGCCTTAGGTAAAGCAGGGATATGGTGAAGGGAAAAAAATGTTCAGTTGAGATAGTTTGCATAATTCATGCCAATTTCTGCTCTTAGTTTAGTTCACAGTTGATTGGCTTCATCCCATTTGCAGGGAGGGGAAGCACTAGATGTTCCTAGTATATTCTTTCTAAGTTTTTTTTTTTTTTTCCAGATGGGTAATTTCAGCCATGTGATAGAACTGGGAGGTTGACATGAAGTTGTCATCAACTACAACCAGCCACAAATTTCCTCAAAGCCAACTGACTGATTAGGTACAACAATGCAATAAGGCAGTAAGTAAGGAGATGTGAAGGACACAGCACTGTCCATGCTGATTCTGACCTCCTTGAGAAGTACTCCAACTCCAGAGCGTGCATCTTTCAAATGAAAGCACTATTGTAAATAGCTTCCAGTAGCCGTGATATTTTAGGATGATTTAGGTCATACACATCTGTCTTTACCTGCTGCTGGCACCTGAAATTACCGAGTAAACAATTATGTTAAATAGTTTAGAGCTACATATTGTGACTATTCCTAAGCAGCAATCAAAACCTAATGTGTTTATATGGATTTAATACAATGTCTTAGGCTTCTCAGAGAAGCTACTTCTACACTTTAATGCTTTAGCAGCTTACACTGAGACACTTAATGGAAACTGAGGGTTGGTACTTAAGGCCATGGGGAGTGAAATGTTCCTTGTTTACCTTGCAAATATTTGGAAACTAATTATTCCTTGTATTCTCAATATCTCATTTTGAATTTGGGGGATATTTTATCCATAGGGTAGAAACCTAAAAAAAACAACCCCCAAACCGCCATAACACACCTCCCTCCCCCCTCCTCCCAACCCCAAAAAAACCAAACCAGAACAAAAAAAAACCCCACAAACAAAAAAAGCCAACAAACCCCAAACAAGGCAAATATAAACAGCTGAAGACTGTGGACAACATATTTGGGGTAAGTGGAAAGAGTAAATTTGGTGCTGACCTGGGAGGCTCATGCTCGGGGTATCAGTGGTCACTTCTTGAGCAGAACACTGGTCAGGGCCTGAAGTGCCCGAGTGCTGCCCTTGGACACGCACCACGTGCAGCTGGGACTGACCCGGAGGGCACCCTCAGTGCCTTCTCTTCAGGACATGTGGCAGGCTGAGCCCAGGGCAGGAGGTGCTCCAGGCAGTGTCCCTGGGCCTGTCCCATGGTGATGTGTGCAGCCAAGAGCCCTTAGCAGGGCAAGGATGGGATGGAGGAGGAGGGGCTGGTGCAGCAGCTCCAAGTCCTCAGCTGGGCGTGTCTCTTTGGGGAGCTGGTGGGTGCAGGGCTGAGAGACCCTCCTGGCTGCAGTGCAGCCCCTAAGCCTGGGGGAAGGGCAGGGAGACCCCAGGAGCATAGCTTCTCTCAGGATAAGGGATGGGGGCATCCTGGTGTGCTGAATCTCCAAAAGGGAGCAACTCTGGATCAAATATACCATTTGTGTTGCTGACACTTACAGAATTCACAGTGGTTAGTATAAAAACCTGGCAAAGACCCTTGTGATGTGACAGAGCTCTGCATTATGTAGCACCAGGCACCCTGTTTGCTGGAGAGACCTGAGCTCCACTGTCACAATGGAGACAACACTTCAGGCTCCATTCTTGGAGCGAGAGGGCTGCTAGGATACAAATTTTTTCTCTTTGCCTACAAAACAGGCGGGAGGAAATTGGTCTGATCTAGCAGCAGGAGCTGGTACTTTCTCAAGCTGAACAGCTCAGTGTGTGTGGAAGGGGGTCAGACAGACCTGTTTCACTGACTGGTAACAAAATAAGAAAATGCTGATTTCCTTTTACACTCCATGACATGGGAGTTGTATTTTTCATCTGTTTTTTTCCCCTAATGCAAAGATGGACTCCCAGGTTGAAGCTGTGAGATAAGTGCATGCTGCTCTTCTCCTGTGAAATGAGTTGCTGACCTCAAAGTCTGGGGTGAGGAGATCCACAGTGTGCCCTTCTCATGAATTTTCTTTAATCTAGAAAAGAACATTTGCCTTCCAGTGATGCATCTGTTTTGCTTTCCAAAGTTGACAGTGATGCTGATCGAATGTATTATTTGGTGCTACAGTAGTGCAGTTTAAGAGAACGTGGAGCTTATTAATGATTATTAATCCCTTGACATCCACAGGTGCAGGTGGGTGGTAATTTGGTCTCCTCCAGTGCATGAATTATTCACAGATTTTTTAGAATTTGTAGGTAGACATTAAATTATTCTCCTGTTCCCAGATGAGATGAATGATGGAAACAAACATAAAAAACAAGAAACAAAAAGCCATGCCTCTGCTCCAAAGTGAAAAGTCAATACATATTCTCATAATGATTCCAGGGGTTCTATGGTAAAGCTTTGGGTCATGGTAATCTGTCTAGTGAATTTGAGCAAAGGCAAGGAGTGGAGAAACACTTATGAAAAGTATAAAGGAAAATTTAACAGGAATTAATGAACTCAGTGCTACTTGGAAGCTGGTCTGACATAGATATATATTCCTCCCGCAGACAGTTTCTTGGAGAGAGAGTCTATTTTAGAGGGAGATGGTTAGGCATAAAGTATAGCATTAAGTCTTCAGCCTTGGAGGTATGATTGATTTATTTGGAAATGATGAGTGATTATGTCCTAATGATGTTTTGAAAGACATGAAGTGCATTCCACTATGTGAGTGACCCTTGGCTTTAAATTCCAAGAGATGACAGTTCCTGGGCACGTCAGTGAAGGGACAGAGGGAAACTGGCACACTGTGCCACTGTAATCAGTGTGAAACTGTGTCATCTGTTTGATTTCAGTAGCCAATTCTCCAAGAAACCTGAGAAAGCTGTAACTAGGGGGTTGGTGGTTGGGAATAGATTAACAGAAATACTTTCATCGTTCTTTATAGAAGTAGTTTTGATATTTTTTACACCTCCTGGTCTTTTGCTGAGAAGCTGGATCTGTTTTGCTTTGTGTCCATTTTTTGTGATTCATTCTTTCTGGTCTGTGATACCTGGATAGTTTGGTTATCCACAGTTCAATTGCTGTGCCTCCTGCTAATACTGTGTTGTGGTGTTGTAAGAGAATCCAGTTAGCTTAACAGCTCTGTGGCTGCTTCTCTCTCCCACCTCATTTTCTGAAGGTGAAGATGCCAAATAAGCAATGGTCATGATTCTTGGAGACCTCTGGGGATGTGTTTGATCAGAAACATCCTTGAAGACATGGATTTTCCTTTCATAATAGTTGCTGAACACAGTATAAAAAAATCAGATGTACATCTTATAATTCCATCCCAACAGTGTGACAATCAGTGGCAAAAAATTTGGGAAGTCTTTACTGTTGGAAGTTATCTCTCTCCAACACAAAGAGATAGCATTAATGAATCATTTTACTGTAATACTGAGAGTCCTTTTAAAGTGTGAGGCTAAGAGCTTTTAAATTTAATTTATACCACAGGATCTGATTTCCAGCTACACTGATCTGTTGTGTCTTCGCTTGCACTAATTGTAACAAAGATGTAATAGTCAATAGTGTAACTGGAAGTATTATCTATAAAGATGTTTGCTGTTAGCTCATATCTCAAATTACTCTGCAACATAAGTGCTATATACAGATCTGAACATCACACTTTCAGAAAGAGAAAGATCAATCAGAGAGATTCGTGTAATAGTAGCCTTCAAATACCTAAAAGGATATTGCCATATAAAGGAATTTTACTTTTTTCCTTCATGTCCTTGGTGCACAGCATATACTGCAACACAGGAGGTTCAGGACTTTGGTAAAGCTTGCTAATGATAAAGGCAGCAAAGCCTCAGTGAAAGTGGCATACAGTGGCATAGCTGTGGAGTCCACATTAATGAAAGTTAAAAACAAGCCAGGAAGGAGTCTGTCTGGAATAGATATAATTAATAGGTGTTGTTATCTCTGCCTTGCTGACTTCAGTCCCTTCTTATAACACAAAATTATATTTCTTTCTTATATGTAATGTATTTTTCTCTTAAAACAGTGTTAGTGGATTGTGTGTATTCAATTATAGTAATTTGTCAGTAAATTTCCCTTCCATTTTCTGTTATTAATAGTATTGTGCAGCTCTAATGTGTGAAGGCCATAATGCATATTGGGAGTTTTAGCAGGCTATAAAAGCCTGTAGGAAGTCCTCATGCTAACAAGCCTACAGCCTGAATAATGACCAGGTGAAAAGTAGGAGATGGAGTACAGTAATTTTTACAGAAAGCCATGTTTTCTTTAAAAAGCTATGACTTGAAAGAAGTCTTTTGAGTCCAAGTATCAATTTGCTCTTTGAGGAACTTCAGTAAGGCTGGAGATGGCAATTTTTGCAGGATTTCTTTCTGTTTAAGGATCTTAGCAAATTTAAGCTTGGAAATTATCTGTTGAGAGAGATGAGAGAAAGAAGAACAATGCAACACAGCCATATGGGCTTTGTTCTTACACATGGTTTGACTCTGTGGGGGACATCATTCTCCAGCCTGTCAAAGCTCAGCATACAGCGAAAAGTTCTGATGTAATGGATTTTCTTTTTATGAGCAGTCAATTTGTCTGGAGCCCAGGCCTTTAAACTTGGCTGACAGGAAAATTCTCTACTGAGAATTGACTGGCAGACAAACAACACTGGAATTCTAAGTATTTCTTATATCTCTGAAGAATTTGGGTTTCCTTTATAATACCTTAATTATAGAAGCTATGCTTTTAGGATTGCTCTTAATTGAATACACTTGTTTATTTTCTTCCTGCCATGTGAGTTTCCCAACTCCAGCCAACTCTGTCTAGCCAGAGGTGTTCCCTGCAGACTGAAAATCATTTAGATGGTTTATTTTATTGTATGCCTAACTCTTTGTATTCCAATCACCTGATTGACCTGAATCTGTCCAATGGATATATCAAATGTAGTTGGATTCAGTGGTCTTTATGGGTCCCTTCCAACCCGAGATATTCTATGATTCCACTGTTTATATAGAAAGGTCAATAACAAGGATGACACTTAAAAACTGAGCTCCCAGCTACTACCATTAAAAGTTCTTTCGATGCTTGAGATTCTAGCTCAGAAAGATGTAGGTGAAAATTAAGGCAACTTTTAGCAGGAACTATTTGTCTAATTTGCAAGTCCTTACAGCGCTGCTGAAACAGCACTTACAGGAGGGTAAAGAAATGCTGCCTGCACTAGAGACAAGCTATGCAGCTAGAATCAAATGCTCATGATGTCTTCTCCTGGCACAGCTTCCTCTGTGCTGGCACAAATGTCTGATGAACAAATGTCTCTGATCCCAGGGGGGAAATTTCTATCCCATCTGGTGCAGCTCCACATCCTTTACTGTCAAACAGGGGAGTAAAGGTTGCTTAGCATGAATGACTTCGCTCATGGAGCTTTCTTGTTACTCAGTTTGTTTGTCATGCTGCATCTTCAGCAGCCTCTGAAACGTTTTTACAAAGTCCTCTGTGGAGGAAGGAAAAAGTGTGGCTTTGAACAAATGTCTTAAGATGGAGAGTCATGTCTGTTTTTTCTTTTGATCCCACTGCCTGGTCAGTTTAGAGGTTGTATGGAGTTCTGATGGATGCACTGCTTTATCTCCATCTCAGCAGGGGAAATAAAATAGTAGCATTGTCTACTCATCAATACATTGCTGATAAAAGAATTAGTTGTCTTTCATGATTGGGCATGCATACTGAAGCCCTATCTGAAAGCCTTTTGTTCCTGCTTTAAACATGGTGAAGGGAACAGACAATGGAAAAAATAAAGTAGGTTTGATTGCAGCAGAGTTGTTTGTTTTTATTGCTTTGATTTTTTACACAAATTGACTACAATGGAAATGAAGACTGTTGTTTTCTAGTGGTGTTGGTAAACATTCAATAAGGTTTTTGAGTTTCAGATTTTAGGTAGTGAATGCGCACAGGAGCCTTGAAAGTGATCGTTCTTGTGTGATATATATTCTCTCTAATTCCACAGTGAAAAATTGTAATAAAAGAACACAAAGATCTGTAATTCAGTGCTGCTTCAGAGGCTTTTCCTTTTGCTCTGAACAGAGTACTAATTGCAGAGATTTGACAGCTCTTGGGTATTCATCACATGTACTTGCCCTTACTTTAGATGTTTAATTTAGTTGCAAAATAATTCTTCTTGAATTTGTAATTGTAATAATTGCCATTAATAACCTGGCGAAGTAGTTGGCCTTTGGCATTACATCAGGGGGAAAATGATAGTAAGATAGCTCTTGTCTGAAGATTTAGAGAGCTAGAGAACATCAGGGGGTCGGGGGCGGATGGAGGGGTGTTGAGGGAAGAGAATACCAGAAACAAGGCATCATGACAGGCATCTTGGGGTTTGCAATTGGGATTTATGCAACAGGCTTATGCAATTTGGCTGTACTTCTTTGTAGAGGAAGAAGACAAGGTGTCAAATGCAAAAGAAATAACAGGGAGGATGAGGAAGGTGAAGGCAGGAGAGCGTGAAATGACAGACAGTTGGGAATATTTTGGAAGTAGAACAAAGCCCTGTGCTGAGAGCTGTATCAGTGGTGGCTCATGCAACAGCAAAGCAAAAAGTATTTTTCCACAGGTAGGCTGCCCATTTCAGTAGATGAATAACTCATCCACACCGAGGTAGGATGATCCTAGAGAGGAAGGGGTGGGCTTCTCAAAGCAGTACGTGTAACAGCAGCTGTCTCCTTTTCACTGATGGTCTGCTCCTGGTGCAGTGGCCTGGTGGAAAGCAGGGAAAGCAGTGGTGACCTTGCTCTGAGGGTGCAGGAGGAGCAGGGCTGCCCGAGTGTGAGGGGAGTCCTGAGCTGAGGACAGCAGTGGATTCTAACAGGAGGCCCAGGGAGCCTGGCTGGGACAGCAGGGCACCAGGGGCTTGGCCAAGCCAAAAGAGTGTCCTTGGGCCTGAAGACAGAGGTGGACTGGAGGGAGCAGGGAGCCAGGGTAGGGAGAAAAGGCAGGTGGTCGTAGAAATTAATTCTTGTCATTGCCACTCAGACCTGGCAGGATTGCCCCTCCCTTGTGTCGGGAAGCATTAAAAGGTGGTCAATCTTTTAGTGGTAAATGTGACCAACAGCTACCTAGCATGTTGTCTTCCATTTTTCTGAGGATAGCTCTTCCTCTGCTTTTCCACTGATGGTGACTAACCATCCAGGTGATTTCAAGAAGCTAACTCCAGGACATAGTTATGAATAAAAAAGTACAAGGAGAGGTGTGTCGCAAAGACTGATGCTGCTGTGCCAGACAGCTGCTGCTGCAGTTGTGGCTGGGCATGAGGGCAGCTGAGCCAGAGAGACTGAAGCTGAAGGTCAGGGGGTCTCTGGAGCTCTCAGGAGCTGCATGCTCATCCTTATGTCCCTGCCAGTCTACAGCCTTCTCGGGCATGGGCTGACTGTCACAACCTTTGAATCAGTAGGTACTGTTTTGGGACTGGCTTGGGACATGTGTGTTGTGGTTTTGTTTTAAACAAGGATGACAACTGATCCCCATTCCTGCCCTTCTTGCTTGCCTTGTGTGATGGTTATCACAGTAGACTGAATATAGAGAGGAGAGACATAAGGGTCTATAAGTTAAGCCCTATCTGCAGTTAAGCCCTTCCATGCCCTCACCAGTGCTGTGAGTCCTGTGGCCACCGGAGGCTGGAGAGGCTGCCTGGCACCTTGTAGCAGGACACACTCACACCCCTGGCTCTGGCCTCTAAAATGATGTCCAGACTGATGCACCAGTGGTTAATCAGGACACAGAGAGCCCTGGTCTAGCCAGTGGCCTGCCCAAAGCAATTTCCTTCACTTTGTTAGAAAGGAGAAGCATCTTTCCTCACTTCTCAGTGGAACTGGGAAAGTACAGTATGTAATTTTTCTACTGCCTGCGAGCAGAATTTGAATTCTTCTCTATTCTTTAAAATAAGAGTTTGCATCTCATTCACTGAAGTTAAAATGTTCCTCAATGAGGAAAAAATTTCAACTCTGCCTATCCCAAGCTGTCAAAGCATGCAAGAGCAGCAAACAGATTGTGGGTACCATTAGAAAGCATAAGCGTCTAATTACTTCAAAATGGACCACAAGGGAAAATGAAAGTTATCTATTCTTGATGCTGCTGTTGTTTCATTTGTCGATAAGCACATCAGTCTTTGGTACTCATTTTGGCTGTGAAGGAGTATGATTGACTAATAAATGTGTGTTCCTTTGTAGTCAGTTGCAGAACGTTGGAATATTTTTGTAGCAAAATCTTACTGGAGAATCTCAGAAACATTTTTTTCCCTTAGCGACACAAGTGGAATAAAAATATATTTCTATACTCCTCATTTTCAATACCTGGGCTGCTAAAGCAGCTGTGTATCTTTTTTTCACTTGCAGCACAGTCATTTGAATATGTGACCTCCAATTTCTGTACAGAAGTTGTAGCTTAAAGGGCAAGACCAGACTATGTACAGAGCGAGCAGAAATGATTCACTGGCTTTTAAATCCAAACTAATGGCCTTCATATGGCTGTTGAGTCTCTGAACAATGGAAAGTCAATGGGTTTGGTTTGAAAAAGGATGCAATACCTTGATAAAACACAGCAATGTGTCACCCTGTGATGTTCTGGAACACAATAAGTGTTTAATATGATTTTCTTCCACCTGAACAAACACTGTCAATTTGCTCTTGGACACTTATAATTTGCTCCTACATAATTTCTCTTTCCTTGCTTCTACCCCACTCTTTATATGTCAGGCATTGCTTGATGAAAAGAGGTGCTTATTGAAAAAAAAAAAAAAGTCTGATCAGGAATGTAAACCCTTATAAAATAAGACTCAGTGCTGTGGAAGAAAGTTTGCAGCAGCTCAGGGCAATGGCCTGTGTAATTGCCAGGTCAATCAAGCCATGAAGCAGAGGGCAAAGGCTTTGATTTCTACTCCTCCCATTCGCAAGTACATTGCCTTCAGCTCCTACCCTTAAAATCTCTCAAGCTGCCTTTCTGCTGGTGATTCATACTGGGAAATAAACTTGCAAGAAGAGCATTAGTATATATTTTGAAATCACATTCATTAAGCTATTTTTCAGAAAAAGAAACAAAATTTTCTCTGCTGGACATCTGACAAGAGACAACTTGTGTGACTTTGTAGGCTTTGATATTTAGTTATTAGAAGAGGTACATTTTGTTTTCTTTTCATTGGTTTTTTTCCCCACTGAGACAGTCAGTGTTATCAGTTGATTTCTCTAGGTTATCAGACACATGTTGAGATAGAGGGCAGGTTTTGAAGCAAATCTACATATAAAATGTGCTGCAAGTGTCTGATCTTTGACAGTCAAACAAACTTAGCTTACGGAATCTATCTTCACCTGTAGACTGATTCCTTTCATTTCGTGTTTCTTTTTTTTTTATTGTGAAAGGAAAACATGATAAGTTGGTCAGTGATCCAAAACTAGCTCAACTCAGCAGAAAAAGACAGTAATTACTGCTTGACTCCTGTGATCTATTTTAGCCCCAGCCGAGTTTTTAAAGAGTGATGTGAAAAGCCTTTAACATAGTCTTGTTTTGTTATACTAAATCACCTTCTGAGCAATCTCACAGAGTGGACAAAGACTTAGTGACCAGTGACGTAAACCTACTCGTCACATTGATGACAGCTTGTTGCCCCAGACTTGGGAAGGGTTAGAGTTACAAATCTGTTTGATTCACTTTCTGAAAAGAAATTAAAGAGTTTGGCAGTCAGCCTAGGACCTTACTAAACAATCTGAGAGAAAAAAGTTACTTTCTTTCGCTGCTTTCTCAAGGGATGAGGTAGAGTCAGTGCAGTTCAAATGAGCTTTGGAAGCAGTAGGTGTCTATTGTTTGGACCAGAGTCACTGGACTAAGGCAGGCAGCCTGCAACAGGGCTGCCTCAGGGATGTGATTTTACCCATTAAACAAATTCACACAGAGAAAGGTTAAGGTTGGAAAGTTCCTCTGGAGACCATTTAGTCCCCTCCCCTGCTCAGGCAGGGTCAGCTAGAGAAGGTTGTTCAGGACTGGGACTCTAAGAAGTGAGACTCCACAACTCCTCTGGGCAACATGTTCCAGTGTTTGACTCACTGTAAAGCAATTTTATTTTTTCTGTTCGAGTGTAATCTCCTGTATTCCAGTTTGCATTCACTGCCTCCTGTTGACAAATACTGACAAAGTTCTTCCATATTCGGACACATCTGCTGATGCTAATTTTCCTTTTTAGGTCCTAACTTTTAATTTTCTTTTTCTACTTACACTGCTAGCCATTTCTTTGATTGCTGGGTTTGCTGATTCCACTCGTTTTTTGGGGCTGCAGTCTTGTAACTTCAAAATTCCTTTGTTTTGCTGGGAATTTGTTGTCCTGTGAGGTGAAGGTCATAGGGTAACAGAAACTGTAAAACATACTTTTTCCATGTACAAGCAGCAGAACATGAAGGTCTGGAGGCTGCAAATAAGTAGCATGTAAAAAACAACTGTCTTGGTTATACTTATCAAAGCTGCTTCTTTCCCAACGTGTTGCTCCTTGCCCCATTTTTTTCCTTTAGAATGTGTCTCTCAGTCCCTCCTATGGTTTACTCTTTGGTTATGACCATCTAGTGTTTTTCTTCAGACTAGAGAAGATTTTTATTCTGACTAACACTGTGGGGTGCACCTTTAAAATTTTCTATGTAACTGTGTATATTTTCAGAAGACTTCTAACAGTGCATAGATCATCTTGAAGACTGAAAATTCGAGAAAAGTTACCCTCATGTGAAAAAAAAAAAGGGTAAGTTTAAAAAAAGTACCCAGAAAAATCATATTTTTGCTCTTGAGTGCTTTTGGAAAATAGTTGTCATTTCTTGGAAGGGGTTAAAAAAAAATCAATATTTTTTTGATTTTTAAATTTCATCAGAGGGTTTCCTCCATGTGAAAAATTTTTCTAGAGAAGCAGGAATGGATTCAACTCCTATTCTAGGATTTACCTCAGATTTCATGAATATAAATATATATATTGATTTTTCTAAAAAGCAATTCCCATAGCAGAAGCCAGAAGGATTGCTGTCTTGACTTTGCATCCTTTAAAATCCTAATTACAAATTTGATCTGCCACTCCATTTGAATTTTAAAAAAATATTAACCACTTAGCTTGGAACTACATTTGTGTTTTCTAAAAATGTTGTTTCCTTTTGCAGAAAAACAGCAATATCTTTTTTTTTTTTTGGTGGTTTAACTAATATTTCCCCATCTGTGCTTTGCTTCTGCGCTCTCTTTGTGGGAAAACTGAAGTCACAACCAGAATGCCTGGCAACAGAAGCAATGGACTTGATATTTATATTAGAACTGTAACACATGGACATCTGTTCTCTCTACCCTTTAAAAGATATTGCTTCCAAGGACTAATATTTAGTTTTTTCAACTGTGGGCTCCTGATGATAGGTAAGGTTGATGGGAGCCTTTAAAGAGACTCCACTGTAGCCCATGGGGTGGTCCCTGCCCAGCAGATGCCCCGGGGCAGATGGATGGATGGACAGACAGAGGTGTCTTTTTCCAGCCTGGGGGCTGAGGCAGTGCTGGGTTGGCCTCCTTGAAGTGCTGAGGCAGAGCTGAGTGACTCTGAGCCCTCTTTCAAGTTTGCTGCTGATTTGCTGAGAGATCACTTCCTTCTACCTCTGTTTTCTTACACGTAAAATAAGAATACTGAAACCAGTCTCATTTGATCAAATATTTTGAGCTCTACCGAAGGAAATCTGCTGGTCTTAGAGGTCTTCATCAGTAAGACATTCACCTATAAAAGAGAGAGGACCAAAGAAATTTCAGTACTGCAGAACAACAGCGACAGGGAGGATGCATTCAGCAAGAGATTAGTATTCACCCTTAATATGTGTGTCTAATAATTATTTTTCTCCTGATTTAGAGTGAGATTTTTGTGGCAGTCAGCTTTCTGTTCAAAAGCAGTTTTGAATGAACAGGTGGGCTGGCATGTCTGCACTTTGCCTTTTCCTTTGGGAGCTTGATACCTGTTATCCCAAAATGTCTGTATGCTGTATTGGCAGTCTCATAGGAACTCAGTCTTCCTGACGGTGGGTTCAGCCCCTAAACACACATATTCATACAGCAGTTGAATTACAGAGTGTTGAAGATGTGGATGTTGCACTGTTTATTATCTTCCTTCTGGAAGGTATGTTTAAGGCTTGACCCCTGAACTGCGAAAAATGCCTCACCGGGGATGCCAACATGAGATGGAAATACCTATTCCTGGCTACAACCGGTGTAGCCTGCCCTTAGAGCAAATGCAGCAGAGATAAGCCCGTTCTCTTGCTAAAGAGGTGTTGGATAGCCTGCATACCTACTCCTGCATTATTACTAGGAGGTAACAGGCTTAATTACCCAGATGCAAAGCAAAAGCACCCTGTGTACAAAGCTTTTCAGGAGGCACAGGAGCCAGGCTGCAGCCAAACAGGGTACTTACTCCCTTTCTGCCCTGCCTCAGGCTGCAGATTGGTTTTGGCTTTGGGAAGTTTCTTTGTAGCATTTCTGCTTAGGTAAGAACATTTTTAAGTGGTAGGCTGAGGGGTAAACGGTAGCACTGGGAAGATGGAAAGAATGTGTCACCCTGTTTTCTTCCCACAATTATTTTATTTAATTTTCAAACGCCATCTAAGACAACATTAGGGATTGTGATGCCCAAATATTTGTCTAGCAGGGGTTAGCTTGTACTGCCTATATTTCTTCTCTCCTGGCTACAGCACTGTACATTTCCACCATCTCTGCAATACTTCCTGCTTAGAAATAAGAAACTGTCAGTCTTGAATGAGCTCTATGTTAATGCACTGAGTATGGTGATGAAGGAAGGCAAAATTATTTCTATGCAGTGAGAGGTGGGAAAGTTACACTGTTCTTGTATTGAGAGGCTTGCTTGCAGTGCTCAGGCAACAATACAAACAACAGTAGGAAAGAAAAATGCTGCATGAAAAGTGAGACAGGGCATTTCACAAAGGCTATGATTCAATGATAACCTCGACCTGAAATGTTTGGGAACTGACTCATGGATCTATAACTCTTAAATCACTGAACAAACCAACACCAAATAAAAGAGTTAGAGGTGCAGACTTCTCTGTGAGAAGTTTGTAAAATCCTTGATGTAAAATCCTTTTCACCTTGGAAAATCTTTCTCTCCTCCCTTGTACACACCTATGCCAGCTGGTAATTGCCTGAGCTGGAGGTGTGCCATAGCCCAGCACCTTACAGCCCTTCATCTGGTTCAGAGGTTATTGATCCCAGAGTGTCCTAGAAATTAGAGCAGACAATGCAACAAAGCACTGGGGTAACAAAACTGTCCTTTCTTTGGTGAATAATACTTGTGGCATTTCAATTGCATTGTATGGGTTAAAATCATCAACATGGAAACAGCAGTTTATTTCAGCACCAGCAAAACTAACTTACTTGTCTTAATTCGTTGGGGTTTTTAAAGACAAAGGTACAATCCTTCTAATTAGGGGAAAAATATTTTTCGTTAAGTTAACAACCAATCTGAGAAATCAATTATTTGTGTAGCCCTATTTCATATCATCGTTGCAGTTGGTGCCAAGCTGTTTTAGTTCAATGTCGTTAGCACGAATTGTAATCTTAGCCATATTAGTTTGGAGTTTGCCGATCTTTAAGCCTCTTTTGTAATTGGCAAAATTCTGAGGAAAAAGCCTGTGACAGAAGCTTGCAATAAATATAATTGGTTGCAGACAGCTAAACAAATCTCTGCTTAAAACAGGTAAAGCTTGTGGTAGTAAATAAATGTGAAATGGTGAGTGGGAACTGTGGATTGACTAGTTCAGCAGCTGAATAGTTTAATGAAACAGTTGATTTAGAACTCTGTCCACAAGGCTTGGACTAAAACTCTTGTAGTAAATCTGAATCATGCATTGATGGCCTTGGTGAAATTAGGTTTTTTTGCTTCGTAGGATTACATATCTGATGAACAAAAAAAAATTGAATTGTTATGGTTTGCTTGGGTTTCTCTGAGACATTTGGCTATAAATGCCATATGACATCTGATTTTTGGCTTTGGACAAAAACTCCAAAACCAAAATACCTTACTTAGATAATGCAAGGTGTTATGAGACAATGGATAAGTTCAGAACTGGTCTGCTTGCTGGCATACCTCAGCATAGTTGTTGATGGGAGATTGTTGGTGAGTTTCTAGCAATGGATGTTTCCTGATTCAGCATTGCTGAATGTTTCTGCCATTTTGCCAATGGTTTGAAACCTGAGGCAATACATACCTTGCAAATCACTGAGTAACAAACATTAAATATGAGGCTTCTGAGGCACTAATCAAGACTGTCTATTTGTATGACTGTTTTGGTGATGTGCCTCTTGATTTAGCCAACAGTAGGGTAATACCTGTATGTAGGAACTGAGGGCAAGGGTCTGCTTAACAGTTGATACTCTGCCTTGGAAAGCAGTAGGCTAGAATAAGATAAGAGGTAGCTTGGGAAGTCCTGTCTTTAGCTGGAGCTCTGAGGGAATGCCTGGGGCAACTAGAGGCCAGCAGGATTTTGAAAAAGAGAAACATTTGGTTTACAAATAATGTGCCTGCTTTGCAGTAAGAATTCCTTATGTATCTTGCTTGTGAAATTCAAGAACTCTTGTGAAATTCAAGAACTCTGCTCTCTTCATCTCCAATGCTGCTGCAAATACCTAAGCTGAAAGAAAATTTGTGCATTTCTGCAAGTACCAGACTTTGTAGGCGGCCCAGAGATAGAAGCAAAGATGATGCATCTTCATTCAAAAAGGTGTGATAAGTTTGGGGAATTTTCATTGTTGTCTTCCTTTCCTTCCAGTGATTAGAGACAAACATTTCATGGAATAGGCTGATGACTGGTGGTTGGAAGGAGATCAAGCAAATCTAAGACTCTTTCTTTTGAGAAACAGATTTCTAGCCAGTAGAACACCTCCTTGAAGTTGCAGCTGCACACCTTTCTATCTCTTTATTTCAGCAGCTGGTGTAGCTAGGTTATTTTAGTGAATCACTTGCTAATTTTCTACAGTATAATTGCTTGATAGAAAATATTTTTAGAGAGATATGACCTCTCAGAAGCTTGTGAGTGCAGCTTAGGACCAGTCTGTTCCTGTGACACATGAAATACATCCTAATCCATTAAGGTCAGATGAACTGGACACTTGCTCACAGGGGCAGGGTCTGCAGCCAAAAGAATTTATACCGATTAAATGCTTTTTTAGAACTCTCTGCATGAATTTCTAACCTTTAAATAAGTCACCCCTTGGGAGATCACTGATGACACAGCCACTTGTCTCAAAATTCAGCCGCTTGATCTTTATTGAACTTGATGAGCAAACATTTAAATGATAATTGAGACACTAATTAAATGCGGTACCTGTTCTCGTGGTTGAGAATTGAAAGGAAAGACTAAATTATTTAATGACAATTTAGGGTATTACAGGTCCAGACCTTTAGCAGACTTGGAAGAAAGAAGGGTTTGTTCAGATGTTTGAACTGTCTGCTGCTGCTGCCTAGTGCTCAGAACATCACAGTTGATCCCCTGGCATTACAAAAGCATCGACTAGGAGCCCAGTCACCACAGTTTGCTACTGAGTGCCAGGACATTATAGTTGCTCTGGTGAGCAAAATCGAACCTTGGTTTTGTTTTGCCCTTTCTTGTCATTTTTATTGGGCAATCTTGACACTATTATCTATGTCTGTATTTGTAAGTTCACATACCTTTTTAAAACACAAACTGGCTCCTGACTGCAATCGAATTGTTTAATTTTGTATTTCAAATTATTCTGTATTTCCTTAATATCAATTACTAATAAATTAGTTGCTTCTTCTTACATTTCCCTGCCCTTTATTGCTGTTCATGTACATCCCATTTCTGCTCTTTTTCCCTATAGAAATACTTATGGCATCTGTTAAGGTGTGAGGTTATTAGACCTAATCAAAATGTCTCAGGCTCTGTAGTAAGTCACATATTACTGTATTCACAAATGACTTTAGGTGACTATTCCTCCCAGTGCAGTCGTGTATCACTGCTACCCTGTCTGTCCAGGAGGCAGAAAAGTGAAACTCATGCTTGGCACTTCCATAGGGATCTCTGAGGTAGGTAAAAATTTCATCATTGCCAGTGATTTGTGCCCTGTGCAGAACAGATTTGTTCAACAGGCCTGACAATACTTATGAGCTTGGTACAGCGCCAGTTTTGCTTCCTCCTTTCCTATCCTTTCCGTACTGACAGTGTGCAGCAGACCAATTTCCTTCACTGCGGGGAGTCAGGAACTGCTATGGGAACAGATGCTAGGGAAGCAGATGGGGCAAGAGTTGGTTTGGAGCAATGACAACTCCGTAACCTTTCAGCGTCAGCCCGAGATTGCAACTTTCCCCGTATTCCCTGGCAGAAGGCAAGTCCAGGCACAGGAGAAAGCACAGGCTTAGCCCTGCGCTCAAGCAGTGGTAGGTGGCAGCTGGGCTCATTGAGCACAGCGTGCTGGCCCCGAAAAGGCAAATCCTGCTGGAACACGGCTCTTCCTGTGTTAGAAAGGAAGTACTTCAGGCTTTTTGAAGAGTTTGGCCTCGCGGGGCCTACCAGCCCAGCAGCAATATGAACTCTTGTTTTACGTGTGCTGAAACAGAGGCTCTTTGTGAACTGATCAAAAGTTGCTTCTCTGGTAAGGGACATTGACTCCCACGCTGTTCTGAGTGACAAGTGTGTGTCCCTGGCCACCCAGAAGGCCCAGGGCAGAGCAAGGTGTGACATAAAGATGCACAGCCTCCCAGCCACGCAGCTGACATGCAGCTCCCCATGTGGAGCACAGCTGGGCTCTCCTCCATTTCCACAGGGGCAAAGTCAGGGGTTTTGTTCCTCTTTGTCTTTTGTTAAGGGGCAAGGGAATGTTTGGTGTTTGTGTTTGCACATTTTGGAGGAAAAAAACCCCCAAACAACAACAATATGGTTCTCCACCGTGATTTATTTGGATGTTTCATAGTATAGTGGAGAACTTCAAAATTCTAAGGACATAAGTCTTCAGTAGCTGAATTAAATTTGCTCTTTCAGCTAGGTAAAATCCTGTTTAAATGTTCTCAATTGAAAAGCAGGATTTAAAACATGTAATGAGGCTGCAGGGAGTTCCTTCTTTCAAAGTATGTATCCCAGATACCCCAGGTGGTTTCTTCAGGATGCGTTACAAAATATTAACTATGGCAAACTATGGTGTTAAGGCCAAACAAGTTCTTTTTGGTCATGCATTAATTCTTTCTGGTGATTGATAAACAAGAAGATTAAGATTAAGAGGTACCCTTCCTTTTATTTAAAAATGTACTTCAAACCTGACCAACTGACCATCAAAATAATTTATATTTTTTCAACCTGAGCTTTACCTTGAAATATGTTTTAGTTAATGGAATTTCCTCTTCTAAAGCTGAATGACTGTTAACACAGAATCTGACTCAAAAGCTGCCTTCCTATGCATAATTTATTTAGCAGGGAGCCAATGATAACATATTAGCACATACCTGAAGATGCTTGGTCCCATTGTGATGAGAGGCCTTAAGAGCAATGGCACGGATGTGATGCGACTGGAAATAAAATGAATGTAATTGTACATTTAGTGCATTTGTTCATAGAACTCCCAAAAATTTTCTTTATTAAGTGACTGTCACTTGAGAAGCAATAGAAGAGCAAAAGTAAATGACTTTGTACAGCACATCTTGGTTTGCTGTATTACTCTTCAACATAAGATTTTACCTTGTGTCTCAGGACCACATGAATCACAGTGAAGGGAAGCTGACAGCTTCCTAATACTCTTTTTGCATGAGCCTGTCTATCCCTTTTCCATCCATTCATCCAAAACCCAAAATTAAACTAAACAAAAACCCAACACGGTACTTGGCTGAAACACTTTTCTGTATATGTATATAGACCTAAATCAGAGACTTTTCATAAAGTACTGTGTGTTGGGTAACTTGGAATAAAAATACTGTTCAGCTGATGGCTCATGCTGGTGGTACCTGTCATCTGTGTCAAATGGCAGGTTTTTCATGGTGCTAAGTGGAAGGTGAATGCCAAGTGGGCCTGTGTGTGTTACCAGCTGTCAGGCTGAACTTGAAAAGCACGATTAAGGTATCTCCCTGCAGGAAGCTGTTCTGTCAGCTGGATCACAGTGTGGAGATGCTGTGATTTTCTGTGGTGGACAAAGGCCAGGCTCCTCTGAGGAGATGTGGTCAGAGCAGAGCTTTGCAGTCTGCTGCAGTGGTCGAGGTTCCTAATGTGATACTTGTCACCAGCCAACTGCACATTGTCCAAGATGGGGGAGTAGTTCTGAGAGTTAGTGCAATATTAGCACAATATTAAAATATATGTCACTGTCACACATTGGGCACTGTAGATTTACAGCTTAAGAAAAAAAATCAGTATCTATTGCTTGAGAAGCCTGATATCAGCTGATAAAGCTGTTTTGTGTCATTATGGGAAGTCTGGTCTCATCCAAAAAAATTGTGGAGGAGCAGGGATGGGTCAGCAGTTGGCAGTTTGGAGAAGAATGTCACAACCTATGAATATGTTTTCTTACATCATGAGTGCTAGGAGACAAAGATGAAAACCAGCTGATAGGATACAGGCAACCATTACAGAGGAAATACTGGATGTCAGAAGAGGGGCGGGAAGCAATGCCAAGGTCCAGAACACCTTTGGGTGCTGCAACCACCTGAAACCTCCTGAAATCACTCACCAGGGCTCAAACCACTTTTAATAAACAGGTAACTAAAATTCAAGCACTTCCTTTATAAAGCCTTTTGGTTTCAGGAAAGTGAGTCACTGTCTGACAGTTCGGTGGGAGGTTATTCATCCAGGATTGCTTCACTCCTTCGTGGAGATGCTTGGTGAGCAGCTCTGCAAGCTGGCAGGCTGCTTTAGCCAGGCATGTACTCCTACAAGTGCCACCTGCTCTGTTATAATCCTTGCCTCGCTGAAGTCGCCAGCATCTTTCTGCTTGATCTGCAGGGTAGCTCCCTCGTGTTGAACTTGGCTGCTCTTTTAGGAGAGTAACAGTTTGAGGAGCTGTTTGGCTCAGTAGCACTTGGCAACCTCAGGAAGCAAATGCATTCAGCTGGGCAGTGGGCACACGTACGTGCAAGGGGGGCTGCTGTGTGCCCCATCCTGCAGTGTTAGTTCACAGCATGCCTGTGCCTCGGAGGCACTCGCTGTGCAGCTGACACAGCCCTCAGGCATCAGGCAGCTGGGGAAATTGCCACAGAAGCTTTAGCAAGAAAACACATAATAGCCAAAGTCGAAGGGTGAATTGAGATACAGTGGGGGAGGCAGCTATTATGTTCTAGCTCTCTTTAAAAACCATTCTGAGACGTGTAAGGTATTGTGTTGTGTTTGTTGCTGGATTTAAGACTGCTGACTGCCAGGCGGTGAAGGTCACTTTGTGCTTCCTTCTTTAAGGCAAGTTGCCGCTGTTTATATTAACAAGGGAGCAGCAGTGCTGGCTAACTCCTGGCATGTTAACCTGCATCTCTCCCGGGCAGCAGGCCTCTGCTGCGCTCCCTCAGGACCTGTATAGTTGGAGAGTTGTATATCATGTAGGTGTCAAGCCCAATCAGAGCTTCCTTGTCAGGATGTGTTAAGGCAGCTGCCTGCAATTTGTGTTACAGTGTGCATCTCTGCCAATAAACTACTTTTGCTCTCCCTTGTGCTGCGTCTGCCGTCTGCAGGGCTGCTGGGAGAGCTGCCAGAGAGAGAGAGCAACTGCAGGCACAAAGGTGGCTGGGTGGCACCTCTTGTAATCTGTGTTCTGCACGATGTATTGATTGACTTTGTGGATGGATCCCAGGGGCTGAACACAAACAGCATGTACCAGAGCATGACATTTTAATCAGAGACAGGTTTAACTACTGGGAGCAGCTCGGGTAATGTCTACTTTAAAAAAAAAAAAATTAAAGAAAGAAAATTGCACCAAAAAAAAAAAAAGGGGTGTATGCTGATTATTGCTTAGGAACTCTGTGTAGTCGTGCAGTTAAACATGAGATACAAATGAGTAGGTTGTGACAGGACCAAGAGCACTTTGAAGTAAAGCTGTAGTAAGTGTAAATTGGGGATACAAGTCAAGACACTGAAATAAGTTTTTTGCATGTGGATGCGCAGACACCAGGGCTAAGCAGCAGATCCTGGTCAGTGCAGCACCATTCCTGCCAGCCAGCTGTAAAATCACTTGGCTCAGGGGATAGAAAGGTGTTCATGCTGCAGCAGGTTGGGCTGGCAGGGAACTAGAGGGATTTAAAAGAAGGTGGCTGGAGTTTTCTTTGTATTTGCAATGATAGGGAGTTGTGAGAAAGATGGAGCTCTTTTGGGGTTGGGTCAGCTCTCCCCACCCATATCTTGAGTAAGGGTTGAAAAATGACTGCCTCAGAAACACCAGGGAATGTTATCCTCCTCCTTAGCCTGTAATACACTGTGTAGCAGAGTTTAACCTTCTATAGTAAAATCTCAGGGTCCCTGAAGAGCTCTGTTAACCTTGAAAATCTGTGTAGTATGTTACTTTCTACCTGCAAAGTAGAAAGCACCTCTTATTCCCAGGCATGAATGACACTGAGTCTGGTCCAGAGGCAGACTTGAAAGGACATCCATCTGCTGTTTGTGGGAATTTAACTGAGCAGAAACTTCTGAAACACCAAAAACAGAGAGAATAGCAGAACTATTCCCAAAGCGCTGCCTGCCTTCTAATTGCTGGCCATCTCCTTTTGTGAAAAGAAGCAAGAGAAAGAGTTCACACAAGCACGAGTGCTTTGCAGACTTCTCTTTTGGGGAAAGCAGTTGTCTTTCTTCTCTTGTTTTTGGATGCTTAAAATGAGGAAAGCAACATATCAGACTGCAGAGAGAGGAAAACCAGTCAATGTTACCTTGGTATCTGATGATCAAAGGTATGACCCCCCTCTGCTGTGCCTTGAGAACGGCAGTTAACTGTTTCCTGAGGGAACAGCACGTAGTTCAAAGCAGGAAGTGTCCCTTCCCTCCCTGTGTGGCCACACAGACCAGGAGCTGCCTGCCTGCCTGCCTGCCTGCTTACCTTGGGAGAGCAGGGTATTTAGCTTTTCCCAATAGAAAAAGGGCAGCTTAACCAGTTCTCCTCTGCCAACAAAAAGAAGCAGGAAGATG